TTTGTGAAATAGTTGCAGTCATGATGCTGATGAACTCAGAGGGGTCACATATTGAGCATACCATAATATTAGATCAGGGGTTTATATTGTTTTATTTTTTATTTATTAAGGAAGTGGCATGGCTTGTAAAAATATATTAAAGTCAGGTCTTTAAATACTGAGAATCCAATGGGTTTGTTCATTTTTAAAGCACATAATGTGAAATCACTGAGTTTACAAAAGCATTCAAGTTAAAACAGAAACTTTAAATTAAACATTTCACACAGAAAATCATGTCTCATAGCACAAATTAGAAACTTGTTCACACCTTAACAAATAAAATAAAAATGTACTTAAAAATATGTTGGCGGGTGCTTTTTAACACACAGAAGAATTTTTCTAAACTATGAAAGCACAGATGTCTAAATAAGCTGTGATCAGTCACTTTGAATTATATGAACTGAGTTTGGGTTGGAGCTGAACGGTGGCACGGTGTTGCATTTAGAGCTGCCACCTCTCAGGAAGAAGGTCGCCGGATTGAATTCCAGCCTTTCTGGGTGGAGTTTGCATGTTCTCTCCGTGCATGTGTGGGTTTTCACTGAGTACGCCGGTTTCCTCCCACAGACCAAAAACATGCATGTTAGGCTGATTGATAACTCTAAATTGTTCCTGTGGGTGAGAGAGTGAATGGTTGTCTCGTTTGTCTCTATGTGTCCCTGTGATGGACAGGAGACCTGTCCAGGGTGTCCCCCGCCTCTCGCAGAGTGATGGCTGTGGGTGGGCACCAGTGACCCCCTACGGCCCATGAAGGATACAGGTAAAGATGATGGATGGATGGATGGATGGATGGATGGATGGATGGATGGATGGATGGATGGATGGATGGATGGATGGATGGATGGAGTTAGTGTTGACTAAAGTAAGTATTTTAAATATGTGGGGCAACTTTCAAACTAAGTGTTCATATTGATTTTTGATTATTGGACAGTTTAGAAATAAATTTAAGATAAAATAAAATAAAATAAGATAATATAAAAACTTTATTGATCTTGCAGGAAATTGTTGATGCAATTTTAAAGGGCAAAATGTCGCCTTTTTACATTTCTTCAACTCATCTTTCATATTTTTCACAACATATTTGATTTCATTCAATATACCATCATATAAAATGAAAAGTAGAAGAAATGATATAAAAATGACACAAAAACAACTACGTACATTATAAAGTGATGTTAAATATTAAACAGGAAAAATATTTGACAGGAGAAGCAATTATTTATGTATTATTTATTAGAAGTTTAACTGAGTTTTAATTTTAAAATAAATAAAAGAAGAAGTGCGTTGTTTGTTTTTTTGTGAGGTTTCCCAGCACAACTGTTCCATTGTGTCCTCTGCACTTTTTTTATTTTATTGGTTTAACATTTTTCCTCTAACTGCTTTAGGTTTAAAGAAAATACAGTTACAGATAGGAAAATGCAATTTAGAATAAAATGCAGCCAGTTTCGTGGAGACGTCATACCAAGATGAAAACAGCCTCATTGGACTCCTGGTCCAGCCCATTTTGAAATTTAGCCCCAAGTGACCCTGTTTAATAAAGGAAGGAAGGAGGAATAAGTTATCTAAGCTGATTTGCAAGATGAAGCTGAAATTCAGCTGTGATGTTAATACAAATTATTTCCTCTCATGAACAAATTCATGAGGGTTTTTTTTTTTACATTTGACTTATTTAAAATTATTTAATAAGATTCTGAAATTACTAGTCAAGATAATTTACCATATTTTCTTTATTTAAACAAAAAGTTATTATTACAATCTGTCTTCAGCAAAGTCCTTTTAAAATGGATTTCAGTGCCTTGCTCATGGAAATCTCAGGGTCATTGCAGGATCTGATCAAAATGCTCCTCCTCTCACCTCCTTCACACCTTCTTCCTAAACAACCTTCACTAATATGACCCCTCTTTTAGTTTTTTATTTTATTTATTCTTTTAGACTGGAACGAATGTAAGCCCTGGCCTCCCAGGGAGAAGCATGATTTATAAAAAGGCAATAAAAATGGAAGGATGAGGGAGACTGGGTGCATGGCGGTGAAGGAGGCGTTAGAGGGATAGCAAAGCTAGCCCCCCTGATGGGAGGACTTGTGGTGGGGCATTAACAGGATGTCCAGGCTGAGTAAATCTTCCACCGGCCGCTCAGAGCTCACAACCTGAGCAAACTTCCTAAACACTAACAGGCTGTCAGGAAGCCATTGTTCTGCTGGATATATCAAATTATTTTACACATTGCTTTCTTTGTGAGGGTCCTTCGCTTGAATTTAAAACATAAACAGGCGTGCGCCTGAACAGAATGTGAGCCTGAACGACTAATGAGATTCAAGTGTTTTTTTTGTTTTGTTTGTTTGTTTGTTTATTTAGAAAAATAAACTAAAAGTTATCAGAGTTGAAACATGTAGAATCCTCTTTTATTCAGTTTGCTGTTTTTGTTGTTGTTGTTGTTTTCAGGTCTCGTTTTGAGTTTGCTTTAAGGAATTTGAGTACAGTTTTGTTTTTCTGTAGTCGCTCCAACCCCTCAAACACCCCCCCCCCCCCCCCCACACACACACACACACACACACAAACAAGTTTGTCTTTCTATCTTTAGAGACTTTGTAGTAACTTCCATACACTTTTCATAGCCTAACCCTGACCCTTAACCTAACCATTACCAGTACATACCTAACCCTAAACCTAACCCACCCTCAGTTCACACATTGGTCCTAAACTAACCTAACCCACCAATGGCGCTTCTTCTATGGGGCCTGGGGCCCCATAAAGAGCATTTGGTCCTCACAATATAATATAAGTTGAAAAAATGGGCCTTACAAAGTAACATAAACAAAGACACACAAACACACACACCAAGAAACCGGAAATAGATCTGCTCCCAGGCAGCGGGAGATCCTCCAATTAGGGCAGAATGCAGCATCAATTTAAGGGCTAATTATGTGCGTAATGAGCTCACCGTCGTGCGTCCGCGCCCCCGACACTGAGCCCGCTGCACCAGTCGCCCCCGCACGATTCTTCCCTCCCCCCCTCCTCTCCCACCAGAGCGCCTGGCAGCTAATTAAAAAACTACATGCGCCGCGGCGCCTTCATCTGATTCACAACATGGAAATTAATCCTCATATCAGCGTGTTTTGACGGACACCAGGAGGCGGCGCGTGGCCTGCAGCTGGACTCCGAGCCCGGCGCAAACTGGGCGGACTTTTTTTTTAATTTTTTTATTTCATATATTTAGCTTTTTGTTCAATTTGATAGGAATGTAAGTTAGAGGTTTTATCTCAACAAAAGATACGCAAATAACCCGAATGTGTTCAATCCATCTGTAGCTCAAAAGACATGAGTTTATGACAATTAAGTTTATTTAAGAAGAAAAAACAAACATGTTGTCAGTAAACGCACCACAAGTCTAATAATATAGCAGGTGGTTCTTTTTTTTTTTTCTAGGTGAGAATTATGGTTGAATTAAAAACCTTTAAGGAGGAGGATGATGATATGTATTTGTTTGTTTAGTCCACCTGTCAGGTTCATTTGTTATTGTTTACAGCTCTACATGTTCTCTTTTTATATTTCACAGAATTACACGATACATATTTTAATAAATCACAGCTATTTTTCTTTTTTATAATTAAGAAGACCTTGAGTGAGCAAACCATCACGAAACAAACAGCGTTTTTACAAAATATTTCACGCAAATAAATTAAGTTAAAAAATGTTTATTCTTCTTTCATTTAAATTGATTAAACGCGTGTTAATGTGTTGTTGTTGTTGTTTTATGTTGGTGTTTTTTCATCCAGTGGCCCTTCAAATTTGATTTAGCCCCTCGCCTGTGGAAAAATCCCCCTCGACGTGGATCTTTTTTTTTTCCCAGCCGGATCCATCATTTGCGCGCAAAAAAACAAAACAAAAAAAAAAATCACATTTAAGCTCAGCCCGTGAACGCCAAAGTGCCGCGCGCGCACCGCACGCTGGTCCTAGACGACGCTCCACGGCTGAGCGTCCAATCACGGAAGGACTCGAACCTTCTCCGTCCAATCGGAGCGAAGGGGGCGGGTCCAGATCCTCGGTGAGAGAGCGACGCTGAGACGGTTCAGGAGAGTCGGATTGTTGGGCTCCAAATGCCACTCGTTGCGCGTCCTCATAATTTGGAGAGGTGTATGCAGCGCACGGCCCGCTCGCCTTTCCAGGTAGAAATCCAGGAGGAGCTGAGAGCAATTTTTTGAACTGGGACGGGCGGCTGAACCCAGTTCAGGACAGGTGATATTCCCAGCAGGCTGCATTTAAGGCCACGGGATCGATCCAGGTGCGAGGCTCTGAACAGGCTCGGGTAGGAACGGTAGATATCTTCATCAGACTTCAGCTTGGAGATGCTTAAATGGCCACGTGCAGCTTTTGTTCGTGTCGTTGTTTCAGGAACTGCGTGGGTCAAATGTCACTTCCTGAGCAATGAACGAGACGTCTTCATTTATCTGTGCCGAAATAATAATTTAAAACAAAATCTCACTCAAAAAATCAGTTTAGGTGAGAATAAGTATTAATATATTTGTATCTGATTTAAAAAAAGAAGACCAGCTGCTGTTTGTATATATTTTTAAATAACAAAAATGTCTTATTGAGATTATGACACTTATGTAAATAAATGATATTAATTTGGTTCAGGTGAATTTATTTTATAACATGTTTTTTTTTTCTGTGTGAAATATTTAGTTAAGATCGTTTTATAAATTAGATTTTTGCTTTCACTTTTGCAAAAATGTGCAGTTTGGAGCGAAAAGCATCAGGTCGAAACATGAAGATTTAATTTTTAGTTGCAACCCACAGAAAAATATGCGTGCGTGTATTTTTTGGAGAACAACCACAGATATATATATATATATATATTATATATATTATTATATATATTTCCTTTCCTCTGTTTTTCAGGTCATGGATAAAAACCAGGAGGCGTTTCCAACGGAGCTGTCAGTGACGCGGGGATTTCTGGAATAAAACGCGCATGTTGGATTCAGCTTCTTGCATCAAATCTGCATTTTTTTATGTTATTATTTGTTATTTTTTTAACTGATTGAAAATTGAAGATGAAACCGAAGCGAAGCGGAGAGGAACCCCTGCAGCTGCTGCTCTGAGCTCATTTCAGACGAGTCGAGGAGGAGTTCAGGCGCCGAAATGAAGGAGAAATCCAAAACGGCCGCAAGGACTAGACGGGAAAAGGAGAACAGTGAATTTTATGAGCTGGCCAAAATGTTGCCTTTACCGTCGGCCATCACCTCTCAGCTGGACAAAGCCTCCATCATCAGGCTGACGACGAGTTATTTAAAGATGAGGATTGTGTTTCCGCAGGGTGAGACACCACCGCGTCCAATTCTGTCCTAAAATGTTCTTTTTTTTTCCAAATTTATGAAAAAAAAATACAAATAAATAAGGTGGGAATAAAAAATAAATAAATAGGCGCACACACAAAATAATTCTGCATACAATCTGCGTCAAATCTGCGCATTTAATTATGAGAATAAAAGCCTTTGAATATAAAAACAAAACAGTTAAAAAATCCATCTGATTAATATTTTAAGAGCTAATGACTTCATTAAGGAAGCACCAGAGGAATATTGCAGCCTTGTCGTTGATCTGCAGGGAGCCCTGGTTGTTCTGAATCTAGCGTGTCCAAATGAGGCGAGCTGCTCCCATCTTTTTTTTATTTTTTTTTTTTTTACGCACAGCTCTCCGCAGGCTCTCTGCTGAGGTGTGACTGAGAATACGCATCAGCAATTAGGAGCAGGCCCAGCAAGAGTCACCTGGAGCCGTGGAAGCAGGAGGCAAAGCAGACTCCCATTTGCAAGAAAAATGCTGCAAATGATCTGCCGTGAAATCTATAAATCTTTGGCTTGTTTGAATCGAAATATTAACACGATGATAAGGTTGTTTTTTTTTAACGCAAGAAGGAGGAAAATTAGCAAGGTTGAGGTGACTAAAGAGGAACGCGGCCTTTTGGATATGTTTTATTTTATTTATTTATTTATTTGCAGAGGATTCATAGAACTTTTGTCATGTTTTGTCACAATTTGACTGCGGGATGTCAGTCCATGTTTTTTTTGCGACAGCAGAGGCCGATTTTCAGTTCGTTTAAAGAGGTACGGAAGCCCGATTGACCCATTTTTGATGCGTTTTAAATGAGCGCTGACCCTCAGCGATCTAACAGGAACCTAAAAAATATGAGAAAATGTCACAGATGGTGACTTTTTTTTATTATTGTTTTTTTTTTTAGATATTAACATTTAGGAAAATGTCAATAAATAGTTTGTGGTTTTTGCACCTGCAGCAGCGTTTCATGGTTCCTCTGTGGCAGAAAAAATGCTTTCAGAGTTAAATTGGTCTTTTAAACAGGAGCTTCTTCCCTGAGGACATCTCTGTGTGGGTGAGGGGGGGAGAAAGAGAGAGATGTAATTTAATAGTAGTAATAATAATAATAATAATAATAATAATAATGTATGTTTTTGTTGGCAGGTCTCGGTGAGGCCTGGGGTCACACCAGTCGATCAAGATCTTTGGATAATGTCGGGCGCGAGCTTGGCTCTCATTTACTGCAGGTACATATATAATCACGTTTTGTTTACATCGTTTGTTTACTCGTTTTGTTTAGTTGTCTTTAAGTGTCATCGAGTGCGCCCACGGAGCACGCGCTCGTGTAAAAACAAAGCTGAAACGGCGTCTTTCATGTCGCTTGTTTCCAGACATTAGACGGGTTCATCTTCGTCGTGGCTCCAGATGGGAAGATCATGTACATTTCAGAGACAGCGTCGGTCCATTTAGGACTGTCTCAGGTGAGCTTCGCTTTTAAATGTTTTTCTTTATTGTTTTTTTCGCTCTATCGAAGAAATAAAACGTCCGTTTTTCAGTCCCTCGGTGCTTCTGCTTGATTATACGAGCTGTTGTCAACAGGTAGAGCTGACGGGGAACAGCATCTATGAATATGTTCATCCGGCGGATCACGATGAGATGACCGCGGTGCTGACGCCGCATCAGCCGTATCACTCACATTTTGTGCAAGGTATGCATCCGCGTTTCAAATAAAAAAAAAAATGCTTTTTTTTAATGTGACAACATAGACCAAGTTAAAATATGTCTCGACAGTCTGTTACACATTAATACAGTTACATTACTACTACTAATACTATTAATAATAATAATATTAATAATAAAATTATTATTTTATGGCATTTTAATTTAATAATTGTATGACTTATTTTATTTTCACATAAGATGTGAGTTTTTATTATGTATTTGGTTGATATAATATTATTCTTATTCTTTTTTGTGGATTGAAATTATAATTAAAAATCCTAATAAATATATAAGTAGACTATATCTGTCACCTATTAGTATTAATGATTGAAATTATAAAATTTGAATGTTATGACATTAAATTTATGTGCATGTGAATATTTAGTATTCTTATTCTTATTCTTATTGTGTGAAATGGAACTATAGAAGCATTCGCCTATAAATAAACTTATTTATTTTTGTTTATATTCCTTTTAGAATATGAAGTGGAGCGTTCTTTCTTTTTGCGGATGAAGTGTGTGCTGGCTAAACGAAATGCAGGACTTACCAGTGGAGGATATAAGGTAGGAAGTTTTTATCGTTCTGAAATATATTCCTACCTTTTATTTAAAATAACATCATAGGAAATAATAATATATATAATAATCATTTTATTTAAAAAGTGCCTTTCATGACACCCAAGACTGGTAATTAAGTATCAAATTTAGTAAAAAAAAAAATTAACATTTACATTTATTTTTGTAAAGAATGTTTTTCACTTTTGTTTCTAAATGCAGTTTTAGAAATTAATTTTTTGTTGCTATCATCTATTTATTTAGTGTGTTTTATATTTTTAACCTATAAAATATATACAATTTAATAATTATGTTAAATTAAATCATTATAAATGAATGAATTAAATATTTTAAAATTGGCTGACTGCTTCTTGCGGAAACAAATTGAGCTACACCTTTACTTATTTGAAACAATTCTCATTTTGCCATGATCTAATTGCCTCTCAACAGGTAATTCACTGCAGTGGCTACCTGAAGATACGTCAGTACAGTCTGGACATGTCACCGTTTGAGGGCTGCTACCAGAACGTGGGCCTGGTGGCCGTGGGTCACTCTCTGCCTCCCAGTGCCGTGACGGAGATCAAACTGCACAGCAACATGTTCATGTTCAGGGCCAGTCTGGACATGAAGCTCATCTTCCTGGACTCGAGGTACAGGGCAGGACTCTTTGTGTTTTATAGCTTCTTAATTATCTGAAGGGGACATTTTCTTTAAGTTGATGCAGCTTCAATCAAAAGTTAAGCAGAAAATATGAGACTATGACTTCATTTTTTTTAAATTCCTTCTTTTCTCTCCAGGGTAGCCGAGCTAACAGGCTACGAGCCACAGGATCTTATAGAGAAGACATTGTACCATCATGTCCACAGCTGTGATATCTTCCACCTCCGCTGTGCTCATCACCTCTGTGAGTTACGGTGCAGGAGTACTTTTTAATATCTGCTCTTTGGTCAGCTTCAGGCACAGACATTCAGAAAATGCATGTCGGTAATCACCTCTACACGTTAAGTTATTGCCTTCTTGTATCTCTTGTAGTGCTGGTAAAAGGCCAAGTCACCACCAAGTATTACCGTTTCCTAGCCAAGCACGGTGGCTGGGTCTGGGTGCAGAGTTACGCCACCATTGTCCACAACAGTCGATCTTCAAGACCTCACTGTATTGTCAGCGTCAACTACGTCCTCACGTGAGTCGCACTCGAGATTTATTTTTCTAAAATCAAAATATTTAAAGGATACTTTGCTTTCAAGATTTGCTTATTTGACCGTTTGTTTGCAATGGCTGCAGTCCTGACAGTGATTTTGAATTGCACAACTAAGGTTATGAAAATCTGTCTGGTTGTCAAATTTAAAACTTCGCAACCCTTGCAACACAATGTAGGGCCCTGCAGAGTCGAAAAGAAGCATTCATAATAATGTTTGCATAGCGGAGCAGCTCTGCATATTTAACAAGATCAAGTAAAATCGTATGATACACTCTGTTGATCCTTTCGTGAAGCACCCACTGCAATATGATGGGTCTGTCTCTTGGAGAAATCCCAGCCCTTATCCATCTTTGTCCACCAAATACTGCTGCCCGCTGCAGGGTTCAGGTTGTGTGTTATGAAAGCACAAAGCACACCGAAGCCCTTTGAGACAGCAAGACAAACATCAGGGTTGAACCCCATCAAAAAACCTCTACTGTCACCATCGATCTGCAGTCCGAGGAAAGCTGAATCGATCAAACGGTAACCTGGAAATCAATAGCCATCTCATAGATGTAGCGCACGTTGGATTTTTCTTGTTAAGTTCGGTTGAGCCGTGTGTGTGTGTGGACGTGCGTGTGGCATCGAGTTGGCTGAGTCCGTGTGTGTGTATGCGTGCATACGGCTGCACTGTATTGATTCGCTCGATGCAGTAAGGAGAAAACAAAGTAACTACATCAAAATGACAGTGAATTTTCTGGGGGCATAATTAGATAGAACAGTGAGGTATCGGAGATCAGAAGAGTAAATAAATAAATAAAAACATCAATTCTGTTGTTTCTGGAGCATTTAAACCCAGCAAAAATCCATTAATAAATCATGCTTGGAGGAAGTCTGGTGGCTTTTTTTTTTTTTTTTTTTTCCCCCAGACGTGATCTGACATTGACCCTGGAGTGGAATTCAAAAAACACAGCTTGAGTTTGTACAGTGGCCCAACATTATCGGCTCAGACTCAGATAGGATGCAGAACCCGCCACTGCAACTGTACCTGCAAGAGCAAACTAAGCTCAGCACTGTCCAAACAAAGCTTTCCCCCCAAGGTGTAATACATGAAGAATGGGTCAGATTTTAGAGTCATATTAAAGAAGCTGGCTCTGGTGGGGGGGTCACTGATGGGCCATGTGGTTGAAAAATGCCAGCCAGCTGCTGTTACATATGGTTGATGTGATAAGTTATGAATAGGCTCGTGTTTGCTGAGCACTTGACACAGGAGCCTGTTTCACTCCCTCGATGACAACACTTGGACTGAGTTCAGCTGCAGGACAGTGTGAACTAAATTAAAAGGGTGAAAACAAGTAAACATTTTATAATTATTAAAGCAATTTACAGCAGAAAATCAGGCCACATGGGTCAGTGATTGCACTTCTTTCTACCAGTGAGGTGAAAATATGCAGCAAAAATAATTAACTCCCTTATGGGTGCCTTTTTTCTTCTTAGAAGCTAATGGGTGCACTCACTTTTGTTTAGTTTAAATTATTTGTCTGCTCATTGTCTTCACACTAATCAGATTCTAATTGATTATAGTAAAAAGTTTTAAAGTACAGTAGTCGCTCGCTATCACGGTTTATCGCGGACTCGCTCTATCGTGGTTTTTCAGAATAAGATTGGACATGACACACAGTTGGTTGATTGATGAATGAGCCACATGATCGGCATGGACATTTTAATTAAAATAAATTGTTTTGAAGGTTTGTGCAGCCCTTACTGCAGGATAAACTTCCTGCTGCAGCTGATCAGCTGTTCAGCATGCAGAGCAGAGAAGTGGGCGTGGCCTAGAGCTCTTACAGGCAGCAAAGAGCAGAGGAGGCAGGAAGCTGAAATCATGACATTCTGTGCTCTTTAAGAGTTGAAAAACATTGTTTAGAATATTGCAAGTGTGTGGGAATGGTTTAAAATGCCTATACACACACACACACACACACACACATATATATATATATATATATATATATATA